AATAATTTATTTTAAGCCAACGAGATAGCTTCCCTTCTTGACAACTGAGTACATGTAACCATCATCACTTCCACATAATTGAGTTTCTTGAACAAAACAAAACCATACCTTGTTTTCAAATTTAATATTTTATTGGAAAGAGAACAGATAACACAATCAGTAGAGGATTCTAGGATTGTGATGGAGATACAGGCATATTAAAAAATGTATCCACTATTCTGAGAAGCTAATATTTTGTGCAAATAATTTCAGCATGATCTTAGTTGTCCAATTATTGAGCTCAAATTTGGAAGTCCCTTATAAGTGCAGATGTTGAGTTGCTGGGACAGTAGTTTAATAGAAGCCAGAGAATCCATACCCTCTATAACAACAGGGGCGGTAGACGCCATAGCCGTAGCCTCCATAACAGGAGGGACGGCAGCAGCCATAGCCGTAGCCTCCATAGCCACAGCCATAGCCATAGCCCAGGCCACCGAAGCCGCCATAGCCATAGCCCAGGCCTCCATAGTAGCTGCCGTAGTAGCTCATGGTGTCAGGAATGGTGAGTTTGGTTTGCTGTTCAAGGCAAGATTCTGAGAGTGAATGTCAGCATGTGTAGAAGGATGCTTATATATCCTGAGCAGAGTATGTGATAAATCACATGTATCCTGTTTGTGTTTCTCTTTTTATTATCACACCTACATAACTAATTAATTCTTTGTTCCCTGACTCAGAGCAAGGCACTCACACTCATTAAAATGTTTGAGATCACTCTGCTGTCTAGTCAGGGTGGCCCTTAAAGGTTATTGTGTCCACTTTATCAAATCATCACTTTAAATACATAATTTTATTTGTCAACTATAACTCAAGAAAACTGGAGTAAGGAGTTATTGCATCACTTTATAAGAAGGAATGCTATATCTTCAAAGTCTGGGTATACCATTTCCCAAATAGAAACTTTCATATCCAAGCAGAACAATCATATTTGATTATGTTTTTCAATCACGTATTTCTTCATCTCTGGTTTTCTTCACATTGCTAGATTCACTTACAAATTAAATCAAAGATACGGATCAACTTCACAGCTCTACAATCTATCACATCCTTTTATAGCCTCTTTTCTTCAGTTTAAAAAGTGAATTATAACTCTTTCAGAGATAAGAAAACAGAAATATTTGAGAGACAGAAACAACCCGGTTCACTATTGTGAACACCAGCAAGGAACTCTAGAAAGAAGCAAAAAGATCTATGTTTTTCTTTAATTTCAGAACATTGACCATCATAACTGACCTACATTTTACTTTTCATACTACTTTGAAAAATACAAATGACTTTTGCTTGTTACAATTAATGAATCAAACTGATATGTAATTATTAACTAAAATGCATAGTTTACTCTTTGGGTTATGCAGTTCTGTGGGCGTTGACAAGTGTGGGATCAAATTATTCAGGAACTAAGAGCAAATGACAGTAATCAAAAATGTATTTCAGAAGTAGTTTTAAAAGCTGATTAAAAGTTATCTTCTCTCTTGGGCCGGCCGAGTGGCGCGTTGGTTAAGAGCTGGCTTGGGACGCCAGAGGGCCCCGGTTCGGATCCCACATATGAGGGCCAGTGACACTNTTCACTGTTCTTCAAAACAAAATATTTGTTGAGTGAATGAAGGAATGAATTCTGCCTGCTACAACTTATGCTAAGTCTCTAAGATGAAATATGGACCCAAAAGGCTTTCAGGTTTTAAAAGAATAATTAACCCCAAGTTTGCCTTGGATGTTAACTCTCTTATTCTACTTTATCAAAATTTATTCCGTCTTTACTTTTTATTCTGAATAAAGAAAGGCAAGATATTTCATCCTCAATGAGTCATTTTGAAACCAAACCATCACAAATAAATCTAACAAGTTTAAGAATATCATGAATTGTTAAGTAAATTTACTAGATTGCTTGACTGTGATAAGGGCTAATTTTCTTGTTTCTGATGCAAATAGCTACGTCCACATAAGATAAAAAATAACAGATTTGTGGGAATGCAGATTGGTGCAGCTGCTATGGAAGGTAGTGTGGAGGTTCCTCAAAAAATTAAGCATAGAATTACCATATGACCCAGCAATCCCTCTCCTGGGTATAAACCCAAAAAACCTGAAAACATTTATCTGTAGAGATATATGTGCTTGGCTGTTCATTGCAGCTTTATTTACAGTGGCCAAGACATGGAAACAACCAATATGTCCTCAATAGATGATTGGATGAAGAAGATGTAGTATATATACACAATGGAATATTATTCTGCCATAAGAATAGATGAAATAGTGCCATTTGAGACAACATGGATGGATCCTGAGATTATTATGCTTAGCGAAATAAGTCAGACAGAAATAGTTGAGAACCATATGATTTCACTGGTATGTGGGATATAAAACTGAAAACAACAAAGGAACAACACAAACAAATGAAGAAACAAAAACTCATAGACACAGACAGTAATTTAGTGGTTATCAGAGGGTTAGGGCAGAGGGGGTGGTAGATGAGGGTAAAAGGGATCAAATACATGGTGATGGAAGAACTGACTCTGGGTGGTGAACGCACCATGTGATATATAGATGATATAGTACAGGACTGTACATCTAAAAGTTATGTACCCTTACTAACAATTGTCACCCCAATAAACTTTAATTTAAAAAACAAAAACAAAAAACAATATATTTTACAATTTTTAAAAAGCTCAGTAACAAAATATACCTTATTTATGTATTTTCAAAGAAAAAATAGTGAGATATATATCACAGAAGCAGATACACACATATA